CCCTTCTCTGGACTATACACCTGGGTGCCTTTGATGATGACTGTATGTGCGGGGAGATTCACACCCCAAGCCAGAGTTGCTGTGGAAACTAAAACCTGAATGTGTTTATCAGCAAAAAGGTCCTCTACGAGTGTCCTGTTCATTCTGGTCATGCCCGCATGATGAATAGCAAAGCCGTAGGGCAGCAGATCCTTCAGCTCCAGGTTCTTGCACTGCTCTGCCTCCGTCCGAAGGACTTCTGTGGAGGCGGAGCCCTCTCTCAGAAACAGACCCAGAGTGTCCTTCTCCAGGCACATGTCCCGAATGGCCCTGGCCGTCTTCCCAGTCTCCTTCCGGGAGTGGACAAACACCAGCACCTGATTTTTCCCCGCATGTCCCATGATCTTCTCGTAGACTATTTCATTCATGATCTGGAAACGCTTGATAGCTTTTTTCTCTGTGATGCCTACGTAGGTCTGCTCCAGAGGCACTGGGCGGAAGCTATTGTCGAAGTAGAAGAGGCCCTTGGCAGGATCAACACGCAGAAATGTGGCCACATCTTCGTAGTTGGGGAGGGTGGCGCTCAGCCCGATGAGTCTGACCTCCTCTTGGGTCATCTCAACGTTTCGGATGGCCCTGGCCACCACAGCTTCCAAGACAGGACCTCTGTCATCGTGGAGGAGGTGGATCTCATCCAGAATGATGAGCCGCACAAGCTGGGTGTAGGTTCGCTCCCCACCCTTGCGGGTAATGATGTCCCACTTCTCAGGGGTGCAGACAATGATCTGAGTGGCACTGATCTCCTCCTTGCGCAGCTGGTGGTCGCCAGTCAGTTCTGCAACAGTAATGCCGTATGTGGCCAGGCGCTTCCCAAAGCTGCCCACCATCTCCTGCACCAGGGAGCGCATCGGGGCGATGTAGACGATCTTGAAGTTGTCCACGTTGATAGTGCCGTCGGGGTTAATGTGCTTCCCGATCTCGCGGAGCATGCACATCAGGGCCACGTTGGTCTTCCCGGCGCCAGTGGGGGCGCACAGTAGCAGGTTCTCGTCTGTCTCCAGGGCGGCCCGGTAGAGCTTACTCTGGATCCGGTTCAGCGTCTTGAAGCCCTGGAACCCAGCCTGGGCGTACTTGGGCAGCTTCTCCACCGGAAGCAGTTGTTCCTCGGAGCCGAAGGGCTTGGGCTTCAGAGCAGGCACGTGCACCTCTTCGTAGCCTTTACGCTGGCGCCGAAAGGATCCATCCGGAAGCTGACAGCGTTTGTTGGCCATGAAGTGACTCCCTTGCGTAAAAACCAGGTCCTCCAAGTCCAGAACCTGCCTCAGAGCCAATGCCTCCCCGCCCTGGTCCAGATCCATGGTTTCCAGATCAGTGTCCAGGCGGGACTGCCGCACGCGCTCCCTCCGGGACCGCTCCTCCCGGATCAGATCCTCCTCCTCCGTCTCCTGAAGTCGGTAGAGGAACTTGGATAACTCTGGATCAGCTTCCATCTTTCCCATGAGCCTTTCCTTTTCAGCTTCACTCTGTGCACTGGCCAGCAAGGTGCAATAGAAAATCATCACCCTGTGCTGCCGCAGCACGTTAATAAAATCGAAAGTATTGAAACCGAGCAGGAGCACCAGCTGGTTCTCACACTCCCGGTCATCACTGGCCGTCTTTAAGACTTCCAACACTTCGTCTGCCTTCTCCTGCGATACAATGGCATCATCATAGAAGCGACTGAGCTGCCGCTGCAGCCAAAACGCATCGATGTCCCGAGGGTGCAAATCCTTCTTCTTAGAACCCTTCAGTTCACCAGAGGCTACAAGATTAGCTGAGAGGGTGCAGCGCACCACAGCCTCATCCCCTTCCATGTCATCATCGGACGCCTCTTCTCGAACCTCCCCATAAACATCTTCATCGCCTTCCTCCTCATCAGACTCAAACTGGACATTCACACCATAGGTCTCATCAACGTTGTCATCCATATTCTGGATTTCCCCGTCTCCGCCATAGTCTGTGATCTTCTTGCCCAAGTTCACCAGCACATGGTATCGGGTATCATCTGTCTGCCCCAGCAACAGGTCGATCTCCTTTCTCCTTTCCTTGTCACGAAGCTTTTCATTCTTTAGGACAGCTAGAACTTCATCAGCTGCCCCACAAAGAATATCACGGGGCTGGTCCCCAAGGGCAGCCTGGATGAAGCTGAGCAGCACTTGGTAAATCTCCCGGGTTGTTTTGGTTTTGGGCTTATAGATGATGCCCACCATCTCATCGATGCCCTCCGAGAGCAGAGTGTACCCCTGCATCTTGTTGATGGCGTGACGGTCCTCGTCACGCTTTCTTCGCTTGGCTCTTCTTTCCTCCTGCATCTGTGGTCTGGTCCGTTGAGCCTTATCTCCCATCCGGGTGCCCTCCAGCTTCCCAACCAGGGATAGCACCTCTCCTGTGGTTTTATCCCGGCAGGTCCGGTCAATGAGAGAACGGTCAGCTTGGAGGACAAGATTCGAGTTCGCCTTGTACTCGTACTGCAGGCTCTGGGCGGTCACATCTGCCATGGCGGCGGCTGCTCTGGGGTTCGGCGACCCGCTCCCCTAAACAGCACGCTCCGGAGGCCCTAGTGGGGTCCTGCCCCAGGAGGTCCAGGTGTTCCCAAAGGTGTAGACGGAGTCAGCGAATAATGAAGGAATGACACGGAGACAGCGTTCAGTTGGTCAGCAGCCTAGCCAGGTTCTAGCCAGGATCTCCAGCCAGGTTCTGTGTTTCATTGTCTTGTTACATCTGTGTTTATACCAGTTGATTTTAATCCTATCAATTTCTATTCCAAAGGTTAGGGTGTTTCTTATCTCCATTCCAGGGAGTAAAGACTATGTAGCTTAAGTGTGATTGTTCGTAGTTAAAGTGATTAACTACCCTCCTGGCACTTAGTTAAGGGGTTTTATTCCCTCCCTAACTTCAGGGGAAAATCCCTACCTGGGGAACAACCTTTCTCGGAGAGGTGACCTTGGTTAAAACACATAGTGCCAAGAAGGGGAGCAAACATATCAAGAACAGTATGCCATATACGCCAGGTCCCTTGAAACATATGCTGTGCAGATGTTTCTTCCCTGCAGCGACTGCGTCAAGCAGCCAGGATGGACCGGCTTCCGGCAAGGCCTGGCGCTCAGGGCTCTACTCCCACCAGACCAACTCAGGGAAGACGCTCAGGAGGCAAAGAGAAACAAATTCCCTCAGCTTCCGGGTCTCAAGCTGGAAGGGCGGGTCTTTGGCGGGTGCCTAGCGTTGTGGGGGGTGGGAGGCTGTTTTTTCTTTTATCTTCTTCATTAAACATGTATTCCTATTATACATGTGTTGAATGTTTTTTGTTTGCTTATTTTACATATGTGAATACTATATAATTATGTACCTTTTGTACACTTAACATTTTAGTGGGGATTTTTCCAAATTAATATCTACTTTTCTCAAACATTACTTCATAATACTCCATTGAATAAGAAACCATTATTTCCCAAACTATTTTGCCATAGAAAGCATCTTTTCCACTCAGCCATACTGCTTCTGAATGTAGAAAACACCTCTTGAACTTACCTTCTTCAACATTAACCAATTGCTGGGCATTTTTATTTTTTTAAGTTTTGAACCACTCTTAGTTTAAATATATTTCTTTATTGATTTCAGAGAGGAAGGGAGAGGGGGAGAGAGAGATAGACACATCATAATGGGCTGCCTCCTGCACACCCCCTACTGGGTTGATGGAGCCCACAACCCAGGCATGTGCCCTTGACCAGAATCGAACCTGGAACCCTTCAGACGGCAGGCAGAGGCTCTTCAGTGGTTCTCAACCTTCTGGCCCTTTAAATACAGTTCCTCATGTTGTGACCCAACCATAAAATTATTTTCGTTGCTACTTCATAACTGTCATGTTGCTACTGTTATGAATCTTCATGTAAATATCTGATATGCAGGATGGTCTTAGGCGACCCCTGTGAAAGGGTCATTTGACCGCCAAAGGGGTCGAGACCCACAGGTTGAGAACCGCTGTATCCACTGAGCCAAACTGGCTTAGAGCTGCTGGGTATTTTGATGCTAAATGAATCCTTCTAGATTGATGGGATGTTAATCTATTTAACATAATAAGTTTTTCCTCTTCAGTGTGCCTGGTGAGCTCACAAAGTCTCCAGTGTTGTGGAGCCCTCTGTGGGAGGACATTTTGAGGGGCATGTCTTGTAAGATGTCACATAAATTTATTTTTATTTTTTAAAAAATATATTTTATTGATTTTTTACAGAGAGGAAGGGAGAGGGATAGAGAGTTAGAAACATCAATGAGAGAGAAACACCGATCAGCTGCCTCCTGCACGCCCCCTACTGGGGATGTGCCTGCAACCAAGGTACACGCCCTTGACTGGAATCGAACCCAGGACCCTTCAGTCCGCAGGCGGATGCTCTATCCACTGAGCCAAACCGGTTAGGGCAAGATGTCACATAAATTTAAAATAATCATGCTAATAGTGATTAGATAAAAATACCTGAAATCGCTCATTTAATTTTTTAATAGACATAGATTGCTTCCTTTTCCTAGGTAATGTCAGCTTCTTTCTTTTTTTTAAATATATATTTTATTTATCTTTTTTGCAGAGATGGAGGGAGAGGGATAGAAAGTCAGAAACATCAATCAGCTGCCTCCTGCACACCCCCTACTGGGGATGAGCCCGCAGCCAAAGTACTTGCCTTTGACTGGATTCGAACCTGGGACCCTTCAGTCCGCAGGCCGATGCTCTATCCACCGAGCCAAACCAGTCAGGGCCTATATTTCTTTATAAATGCTTTTCAATCTTCGATGTGATGAAGACTGCAGACCACGGGAGGGAGTGCTTGGCTCGGTGGCGCGCGCTCTGGTCCTTGCGCAGGCGCGTTACACTGCCCCTCCCCCTGCCCCCGCCCCCGCCCCCGCCCCTGCCCAGCCGGGGGCTCTTTCCTGTGCGCGTGCGCACGAGTTGCGCGGGGAAAACGTGTTGCCGCCGCTGCCGCGTGAGCGCAGAGATGGCTGTGAGGGACGAAGAGGCGGTGCTGCTCTTCAAGAGGGCGCACCACCGGCACGACCCGCGCTGGCTGCTGCCCGCGTGCCCACGCCTCTGCCTGGCCTGCGTGCTGGAGCTGCTGCCGGAGCCCGGGGTGTCGGTGCGCACCCCCCTCCCCCCTCGGCCGCCAGAGCCGCCTTCTTCCCTGCACCCGCTCAGCCCCCGTCCCCCCCAGGCCCGTTCCACACTCGGTGCCCCAGTGGGCCTGTCTCGCCTGCCCTCCCCCCTCTCTCCAGCGGCCCTGCCAGAGGCCGACCTCGCTCCATTTCTCCAGGCTCCGGCCTTAGCTCAGGCCTCCTCCATTGCAGTCGCCTGCGCCCCCCGGGGCCAGGCGCACACGCGCCGGGGGCCCTTCATTTCCTCCAGGTTCCTGAGGGTGGAAATGTGCCGGGGAGGCCTGCGTGGTGGGGGTGGCAGAAGTGGGGTGAGGGGAAGACTTGTGCTCGCGAGATCGGGCAGAGCGTGGGCGCTGTCCCCGGGGCTCGCCCACCTTTGCCCTGAGTTTTGCGGTCCGCAGCCGCATCCCGCCCAGTCAGCGGGGAGGGTGAGCGGGGCATGGAATCCGGGTCTCGGGTGCGGGGAGGGGCCATATCAGTGGTCCTCAGAGTGCCTTTACACTTTCAAAAAGTGTTGAGGACCCCAAAGAGCTTTTGTTTACGAGTATGTGGGTTATAGCCACTGATGGATGTATATTTTATTGACTTCAGAGGAAGGGAGAGAGAGGAACATCAATGAGGAGAGAGAATCATTGATCGGCTGCCTCCTGTGCGCCCCCTACTGGGGATGGAGCCCGAAACCCAGGCCTGTGCCCTGACCCGGGTGGAACCGCGACCTCCTGGTTCATAGGTTGACGCTCAACCACTGAGCCACGCTAGAGGGCGCCACTGATATTTACTAGAAAGCAAAACAAAAATTTAAAATAATTTACTTAAAACAATAGTAAATCTATTTCCTATTAAGATGATTCTTTTTATTCTGGCAAAAATACATAACCTAAAATTTACCATTTTGCTATTTTAAGTGTATAATGTATAAGCATTATAATTAAAAAAGTGAAAAGTAACTACATTTTCCAAAACGAAAAAGATAGTGAAGAGTACTGGCTTTATTTTACATTTTTGGAGGTGTCTTTAATGGCCGGCTTATTTGGAGACAGCTGGATTTTCATGTATGCATTTAATCTGTTATCACATGTTGTGTGATATTTGGAAAGCTTCACCATACACTTGTGAGAGAATAAGAGTGAAAAAGGCAAATAGCACCTTAGTGTGATATGAAATAATTTTGATCTCATGGATCCCCTGGAAGGGTTTTGGGTGTTCTCAGGGTCCCCAGACTACAGTGAGAACGGCTGAGCTCGCTGATAACATCTGAGATATCGCTGAGGCCAGAAGTTCTGAGGTTGTCATTCTTGGGCAGTGAGTGAGTCAGAGACACAGAGATGAATAAGACAGTGCGGTAGGGGGAGAAAATAAGAGAGCACATTATTGGGAATGTCAGAGATGGATATAGCTGGTCAAGTGCTGTGTGGGATAAGGAGGGGAATTAGGAAAGGTGTTTTTTTAGAGGAGGAAGCATTTGAATTAGGCTTGAGAAGATGGGTAAGATTTGGACCGGAAGAGATGGGGGATCTTATCCCGGGAGGTGGATATTAATTAACAAGGATGAGTTTGGGGAAGTAGAATGTTTGAAGGGAAGTTGAGGTTGCATAACCAGGTTAAGCTCAGTTCCTTGAAGAGTTTGAATCCAAGCTAAGGCGCTTGGACTAAATCAGATTGAGAGGTGGAGAGTCATTGAGATTTTTTGGAGGGACTCATTTAGAGCGCTAGCTTAATGGATTATGTAGGAGTTATTGGTGAAGGAAAACAGATTTGCAATAGCATAGGTTAGAGGCAATAAGAGATACAACCTCACCTTTTAAAAAAATATACATTTTTATTGATTTCAGAGAGGAAGGGAGAGGGAGAGATAGATAGAAACATCAATAATGAGAGGGAATCATTGATTGGCTGCCTCCTGCATGCAACCTGGGCACGTGCCCTTGGCTGGAATCAAACCCAGGACCTTTCAGTCTGCAGGCTGACACTCCATCCACTGAGCCAAACCAGCCAGGGCCAACTTCACCTTTAATGAACACACTTTTCTTAGCTTCACCTTTCACCAGTTGAAAGGGTGATGTAGTCAGTTGTACCCATGTTTCTATTCTATCCCCTTTTTGACCCAACTTTTGCTACAATCTTCAGCACTTTGCACAACTACTAGGTGAATTGAGTATGAAGATTTATGTCTGTGTTGAATGGAAGGATGTGTTTTTTCTACCTACCTCTGAAAAGTTCATGAAGGATCCCCCCCACACACACACCCCCAGACCCACCCCCACCGTATCACTCTGCTGGGCTGTTGAAGTGGAAAGAGCCCTGGCCTTTGACAAGATCTGGTTGGAGATTTAGATTTGAGGCCTTGGGAAAGTCTCTGAGCCTCAGTTACCCCCCAAATGGCTATAATGATACCTGCTTCTGCTTGCTTTGTTAACTAATTTGTTAGGCTTAAATGAGCAAGTAGGTAAAGGAGTGATTTGTGAACAGTAAAGTGCTGTGTAAACGCAGGGTATGAGGAACCTTAGCTCATGTACAATCCTCTGTATGAACACATGGATTCCTGTGTGTAAATGATATCCTTTCCACACTCCCTTCAGGGAATTTGAGCTGACCATAAATTAGATGACCTCTCCAGTATCATCTTGTAATTATGTTGTATATTTATGTATTGTATATATAATTTCAGTTTTTGGGGTTCAGAATGGCTGAGGCTTGTTTGCTACTGAATATTTTTCTTCATGTACCCCAAGTTGGTGCGCAAGAAGCATGTGCTGTCCTGTTTCCGAGATGTCCTCCTGAGGCACACCTCCCTGGTCATGCCGCTGCTGGCTCAGGATCAGAGAGTCTGTGTCCACTTCATAAGAATGCTTTTTGGTGAGATTAAAAGGGAAACTTGGCATGAATATTGCATGTATGTTTGTTTTTGGGGTCTTGGAGAGATGGTCTTGGAAAGATAATTTAGACTTTTTTCAAAGTAACACTAACTTATTAGCAAATTGTTTGGTCAGGATGATGAAGAACTTGGTCACCTTTCTAAGATACGTGATGCATTATATGGTAATTACAGCTAAGAAGTTAGTGAAAATGTGAAGATGAATGTGGGAAATGTGTGATCTTTCAAAAAGTCTAGTCTTTTATGGGTTTTGAACAGGATCAGAAGGCCCAGATTGGAGTCTGCTGACCTGGCTGTGACCCTAATTGAGTTACTTCCCCTTTCTTGTGCTTCAGTTTCTTCACGTGTAAAATGAGATGTAATAAGATGTCCCTTCTTCTAATACAGTTATAATACTCTTTGGAATAAGCCCTTTTAGGGAGGAGGGGAGCTACCGCGTATTGAGCACTTTTCTCTGCCAGAGGCTTTTCCGGCTCTTAACTGCTAAGGCAGCACTTTAAGGGAGCAGCGATGATCCCTAAGGCTCAGCGAGGTCACAGCTAACAACTGGCAGAACTGGAGTTTTACCCCAGGTCTCTTATAGACTCCACACTGAGCCACACGGACTTTTAACCCTTTTAAAGCCAGAGTGGGTCATTGAAAGTCTAGGTTAGTGGGCGGCAAACTGCGGCTCGCGAGCCACATGCGGCTCTTTCGCCCCTTGAGTGTGGCTCTTCCACAAAATACCGACTTCTGCGCATGGGCCACAAAGTTTCAATCGCACTGTACGTGCGCGCCCGCACGTGGGATTTTGTGGAAGAGCCACACTCAAGGGGCCAAAGAGCCGCATGTGGCTCGAGAGCCGCAGTTTGCCGACCACTGGTCTAGGTGTTTGGTACTAAGGATAGCTGGGACATTGCTCAAAGTTGCTATTAGTCTTAGACTTCACAGTGGTTTTATTATTTTTTTTAACTATTAACTCCCCCCCTCTTACCTCCTTCTCCTCCAAGGACTGTTATGCAGTGTGGAAGATGGGAGTATGGCAGACCTCTGTATTGAAGGTAAGGTGAAACCGTGTGTACTTAGCATTTGAAGCTGGGGCTATCAGCCTGAATTGAAGCTGTGGTTATTTGAGATCTTGATGAAATGTTCCATTTTAGATAGAGATAAAGAAAGCTCAATTAGTTGTTAGTCATTACGTCTGCATTTCTTTCTTGGGCACCTACTCTGTGCCAAGTACTCTATTATTTCCCACACTTTGTAGAGCCAGCCTCTTCTCTGCCCCTCTCCAAACACCAGCGGAAGCGTCACACATGATTGTATAGAAGGGTGGGTTTGGGGTTGAGATGTGATATTGTTGGCAATTGCTGGCAAAGGAACTCAATCATAATTCTATTTTCTAGTATATGAAGGAGCACATTCTGAGGAAGGAAAAAAGTAGAGCTAATATAAATAGCAGTTTTCAACCTCGGCTTCACAATAGACTGACCTGGGGAGCTTTAAAAATATCTACATGCTTAGGTTCTTTCTCTAGAGATTCTGATTTAAATTGGTCTTGGGCATTGGTATTTTTTAAGCTTCCTAGGTGATTCTAATGTGCAGCCTAATTGTGAACTACTGATGTAAACAGTGAAGACAGAAATTCTTTGGTTTGGATGTGCACACATGGTTTAATGAGGGAGACAGAAAAGACTAATACCAGTTAGCACAAGCAAATGAATTTGAGTAGAAGGGCTATAGAAGGTGAACTCTGGGTTGTTTTCTGATTAATAATGCTATTGTGTCTGCTCAGTCCTTATCCAGCTTACAACTCAGCTGAAATTAGAACAGACCATTCCTTGCCTGCTGGATGAGTGCCACAAAGAGGTCAGTCAATGGCTCTGAGTACCCCTCCGATAGCAGAGGGTATCTGAGCCAACCCTTCTTTGAATAGATGGGAGATGAAAATCCAGAGAGGAAAAGGGACTTGCCTCTGAGGTCACTGAGTCAGTGGCAGAGCCAGAGCTAGGCCCTGGGTCTTTTGATCCTGCTTCAGTACTCTTTGCAACTTCCTACCTTCCCCTTTCAATCACCCAAATGCTACCTCCTTGTGGTGAAGTCCCATCTTTCTAGCGTAATCATCCATGGCCATTCTTTATGTCCTCCTAAATATAATACAGATTTCCTTGATGAATTTATCAAGGAAATAAGTTGATTATCTTGACTTAGTATTTTTATTTGGTCTGAATTGTATACAGTATTTTGTTCTGAAGGCATTTGTTTTTATCAGCATCTAAGGTAAGCACTGAGTGGGTATGTTTAACCTGCTTTCTCCAGTATAGTCAAAGATACCACTTAAACAAGCAGCTTTTGCATTGTGTTTAAGATTTTGGAATGATCAGAATCACTTTTTTTTTTTTGCAAAGGAAGACACGTTTATCTTAACACCATCAAGAGCAACATGTAATTATAAATGATATTAAATTATCATGTCACTATAATTACTCTGTATGTGATTAATATGTTAGATTGGATTTATAAGTATATATATTAGTACTTATGATGATGATGCCATTTAACCCTATGAACACTTTCTGTATGCTAGTCATTGTTTTAGGTGCTTTACATGCAGTATCTCATTCAGTCTTCCCAACAACCCTATGAAGTTAATATTATCATTTCCCACAAGTGGAGTTAAGGGTCTTACATAAGGTGCTACAGTTAGTCATTAGAAAAGGTGAAATATATACTATTGACTCTCCCTGTAAAGTACCAAGCATATGGAGTGTTCCATTACAGTAGCTGTAGCAATGATAATAGCAATACTTTTTTTTGCACTGAGCCAGAATTCTGCCTTTATGACGTTGCCAACTGAGAGGAATCTTTCCCCCGGAACTTCCCAGCCCAGTGGGGAGACAGACACTTAGCTAAAGAGGCTGATTACTGATAGTGGGGAGAGACACACACAATATGGGCTTTGGTGTGGATAGGGCAAGGTAAATTTGTGGGAGCTTTGTCCTGACCCTAATTTATGGAGTGGAATATGTTCACTTCCTGTAGCTCTGTAACATGCCCTCCATGCGAGGCAGCCTGGCCACCCTGACCCTTCTCGGCAAGTTGGTGGATGCCATCCCTGCTTTGGCCGACAAGCTTGTAATGGAGCATCGTGAGTGACCTCTGAGGAAGAGCTTCTGCTCCCCCTTTCACCTGCTTTGATCACTTCCATCTGGATGGTCCATTCATTGTCTACAACTTCATTACTTCCTTTTCTAGGCTTTGGTTTCCAGCTGCAAAATGCACTCTATGTTGGCCAATTTGAAAAAGTGCTTCTCAACTCTGGTCTTGGGCTCTTTATATTCACTATTTTAAAACAACTAATTAAGTACCTAGTATGAATCTTCCTTTTGGGTGGAAGGAGGAATTAATTCTGAAATCTAGAAGCACTGTTTTCTATCAGTAAAATGCAATAAGTATCGCACAGAGGACTTACCCAAGAGTAAATCACTTCACTTTTCCAAACTTTAGTTTCCCCTTTGATTAAGTGCCCAGAAATAATTTATGGTGGTAGACTACTGGGGATTGTCATCACTACCCCACTGAGAGCAATATTTATAGTTTTATGTAGCAGTTAACATTGTGCGGTTCCCCTGGCCCCTTGGTTATTTTCTGGACAGGTGACCTGATGGAGCATCTGGTAAGAGGTTTAGTATACCCCAGCGAGGGGGTGCAAGCTTCTGTCTGCTACCTCTATGGGAAGCTGTACTCCTCACCAACGGCAGCTGAGGTGCTTTCGGGCCATTTCCGGGAGAAGCTGTGCCCTCTCTTCCTTTCCACGCTGGATGGTGCCCAGACAAAGGAGCTACAGATCAATTGCTTGGGTAAAACATAAAGGCTGCAGAGAACAGAGAGAAAGTGTTTGAGGTTTTGCTTGAGGACTTGAGGTATAGGCTCTCTAGTGGTGGGGAAGTTTGCTGCTTTGCAAAGCCATGGGTTTGCGAGATAAGATGCACAGACTGTGAAAGATGCGTAGAGTTGGTGTGGCATCTTAAGAATATTACCTTTGGAAGGAGAAGAGGAAACAAAGTGGACAGCCGTTTTTCTGCCTCCAATCTTCACTGCCTATCCTGGTGCACCCTGTACTTGCTGCCAAGTTCATCTTCACCCCACACAGCTTGCCTCCTGTCAGATTTTCCTATTTGGAAAATCATCTATAGCTTCCTCTAGCCTCCAGGGTGATGTCCAGGTTTCTTTGCATGTTATTTGAGGCTCCTTAGGCAGGAGTTACAGGGAAAAGCATAGTCTGGGTGACAACAGTTTCTTTTCCCAGTTTGAGCCAAGAACTCTCTTATGAACAATCCAGGGACACACAGTGAGCTTGCATTCTGAGCCAGGCTCTGTGCTGGGCTCTGAATCATAGAATTAATCAAACCCATGCTCTGTTCTGAGGGAGCTCATAGTCCAGATGTGGACAGTTAGAGTCTAGTGTCATAAGTGCTATTATGGAGGTTGCACAGAAAAAGGTAGGATTCTGTTTAAAATAGTACTATAATTCTTATATACTAGAGGCTCAGGGTGCGAAATCGCGTGCAGTTGCCCGCTGCTGCTCACAGCCCTGCCCACCTGCCTGCCACTGCTCTCTGTGTTCGCCGCCCTGCCCCCCTACCCTCATTGTGACTGGTCACGATCGTCACAGACACTGGCTTTTTATATATATAGATAGAAAACCCTAAAAACGGTTAAACTAGTAAATGAATTCATTGAAGTTGCAGGATACAAAATTAGCTGTGCTTCCACATACTAACAACAAATTATCTGAAAAAGAAATTAAAACGACAATGCCCTTTACAATAGCATTATACAAAATAAAATACTTGGGAATATCTTCGGAGACATAAAGTCATTCCTAGGGGCTGTCTGAGGAGCTCCCTTAGGTGTCCTCTGGTGGCTCTGCTCCTCTTGCCTGACTTCCACCCCTTTGTTTTCCAGGTCTGCTGAGGCAGCTGCTGAAGTATGATCTCTTTGTGTCCATGATCATGAACAAGTCAGCCCTGGCGGAAAGTGCGGACGGTGTTGAGGGGCCACCAGGAGAGACCACACTGCCTTTGGTGCTCAAAAAGGTCCTTGTCTTGTGATTCCCTGTCTCCAGATTCAGTAACGAGGGAACCCAGATGTCCCCTGAGCCTTGTCCTCATCCACCACTCCTTCCGTCTAGGATTTACAAAGCGTTTCCTTATTAGCCAAACAACATGCTTTTCAAAGACTCAAAGTACATTTTTTTTGAGTTGTGAATCCTTATGTTGCATCTTCCCCTTCACATCCGGGCGGCCTGGGGATGAAGAATAGATGCCACAACAGAAACAGAGCTACCTCCGCTGTTCTAGGGATAACGCTCAGGCTTCTCAGCGTGGTGCCTAGAGCCTCTTTCTCTGGACCCTGTTTACCTTTCAGCCTTACTCACCTGTGTCTTCTACTCCACAACCCAGTGCTCCAGCCATATACAACTTCTCCCTGGTCCTGTCTACACCAGGACATTCTGGCTAGCTGTGCAGATGCTCTTCCCCTTTGCCTTTAAAGCCTTTCCCCTTCCGTTGTATGTTGATCTCTGATTCAGCTTTCAAGGCCTAGAGGGCTCCCCTGTCACCCTAGTTGTTTTAGGTAGAAGGTGCCCCTAAGTCACAGCGCTTACTCACCATATTGTGGTTGATCAACCGGGGTCTTCTTTAGGGTGGGACCTGAGTTTGACTGTCTGTCTGAAGGGCTCAGCACAGGGCTTGGCAGAGCTATAATCCTCATCTGCTGGCAGGAGTATCATTGATTGACCAGATTCTGGGACTCCTGCAGGAAAGAGGAGGAACTCTGGTCAGAAGTGGGAAAGGACAGTTGGGGATAGGTGAGTTAGGGGTTAAAAAGCTAGAGAAGACTGCTCCTCCTTGTTCCCCTGGGATGTCTCTAGAATGGTCCCTACAAGGCCTGTGAAATCTAAAGATCAAGTCCTGTGCCTCTGAAACACCCCCCCAAAAATAAAACCCCAAAAACCTATTTTTTGTGTTTATTTTGCTGTTGCCATCCTGGTGGTGAGACACATCACTTCTAGGTGATGGTTTTTATGTTCTTTCAGTGCCACTGTTTTGTTCTATTTCTCAACTGCTGCTGTGCATAGAGACTCCTTTCCATAACCTGTAACTGCCCTCCCTGAGCACCATCCTCATGCCTGGTGACTGGTAGTGCAGGAGGGATTCAGACACATTTAGGTTCCTGCCCTGAGGCACTCAGGCTGTGTGCTTCTGGTCCTGTCAGGTGTGTAACCAGCACTTTCTGCTTCCTGTTTCTCCAGCTCCTCCTTTCCAGAGATGAGATTCTACAGGTGGCCAGTGCCCACTGTATAACTGCGGTGCTGGTCCACTCTCCAGCGAAGCATGCCCCGGCCTTCATTCATGCTGACATCCCAGGTAGAGGGCCCCTTCTGACCTTTCCTCCAAGGACCCTAGAGTTCTGACTTGGTGACCCTTGAGTCAGCAGCAGCAGCAGCAGCAGTCTTGTTGGGGTTCTGTGATAATGCATCCTGGAGGGATGGGTTGGGGGCAGGTTCAGTTTTACAGGACAGACTCTAGGAAGTAGGTCTCATGATGTCTCAATTCTCTTGCTCCAGATTTCTTATATGACCCTGAGCAGTTTGTTACTGATCTTCATCATTTGTTTGACCATCTAGGAAAAAACACCCAGTGTGGGGTGGTGACAAGACTTATGCACCAGGGAGACAAAGAGAATTAATGTTTCTCAAGGGCTTGTAATGAGCCAGGAAATATTCCCTAAGATGCTTGTAAATGTTGCCACATTTAGGCCCTCATATTTTCTTTTTATGGGTAAGGAAACTGAGGATCAAAGAAGGGAAATAACTGCTTTAAATTAACAAGACTATTCATTGGCAGAAAAGGGATGTAAAATCAAGCCTTTCTAGTTTTAAAAACTTTTCTCTGCATCATGCTGCTTGCCCATCTGAGAATCAGGGGATCTGATTTCTAGTCCCATCTCTACCACTAATAATACCTCTATCTGTCTCAGTTTCTCCATCTATTAAAAAAATGAGGTTAGACCATAACCCTGAGGACATTTTTCAGATTTATCTGAATTAATGATCATGTTTCATGGAGAGGGTGTGTGAACAGATAAAGTAACAGGTGTGAGATGCTGAAGAAATCTAAGGCCCCAGCATTAGTGAAGGGATCATGATTACATAGCTGTCATTTATTGTTTTCTTTCCCTCTTGTCACCAGAGTTCCTCTTTGAGCATCTTTCTGCTTCCAGTGAAGTGCTTATCTGGTCCAGCTACAACTGCTTGATACTTCTGGCAGAGGAGCCACTCTTCTTTTCCAAGTGCCACACGGTGTACGGTTGGTGTGGGGCCCTATACTAGCTCTGGGTTGGGAGGACAGCACTTTGAAGTTGGGTAGCCACAGCAGTGATAAGGGAGTAACCTGCATTTTGGCGGGGCATGCTGGTTCTGATCATTTCCATCAGCCCAGACTCATTACCAGATCCATAGTCAAGCAGTACTATCCCAACAGTTCTTCAGTCCTTTCCTGTACTCCAGATATCTGCCCATCTAGTTAGTCCCTAAGTTTTGCTGATTCATCCTTTTTAAAAAATATATTTTTATTGATTTCAGAGAGGAAGGGAGAGGGTAAGAGAGAAACATCAATGATGAGAGAGTATCATTGATTGGCTGCCTCCTGCAGGACAGGGCCCCCACTGGGGATGGAGCCTGCAATCCGGGCATATGCCCTGACCGGGAATTGAACCATGACCTTCTGGTTCATAGGTCAACGTCAACAACTGAGCCACGCTGGCCAGGCTCTGTGTTCCTATTCTAAGCCAGGCACCAGGCTTGGACTTGGATATTTAGAGATACATATAACGTGGTCCCTGTCCGCTGGAAAGGGAGAGAAATATAAACAAGCTGACTAGGGCTGAGCTAGAGGAAAGTACAGCAAGTGTGGGACTCAGGAAAGACCCACAGCTCTGCCTGAGTGGATCAGAGAAGGCTTCCTGGAGGAGTGGAGATCCAGTGTGATTCTTTGAGGAGCAATAAGAGTGTCTAGTGGGGAAGGTGCAGCTCAGTCAGTAGGTATTCACTAAATATTTTGAGTGCCAGGGCCTGTGCTTTGGGAACTACCATGCACTGATCCCTGCCTCTGCCATGTCATTTCGAGGTAGGGATTGAGTCGGTGGTGAGGAGCCTGCAGGGAAGCCTGAGGATGAACAACACAGAGCTGCACAAGCAGGGCATGCTGCTGTTTGCTGAGATCCTGACTCGGTGAGCAAAGCAGTGGAGAAGGAAAGAAGTGAATATTTATTCTGGTGGGGTCGGTGATAGTTCACTCACTTGTTCCTCATTTACCACTTCTTAGACAGCCAGAGGAGATCAAGCTGTTCACAAGCTCAGCCATGTGCAGAGATGCTGGCCGTGCCCTCCAACAGGCAGTGAGCAGCCCTGTGCTGGAGGTGGCCATGGAGGCGGTGAAGGCCATTTCTGCCTTTCTGAGGTGAGAGACCAGGCAGGCTGACCTTTCCACCTCTGCATGTACCCGAGGGCCAGGTCAAGGCCAGGGCAGCTTCCAGGGGCTACTTGTCAGGGAAATTTTCTTGAATTCTTTTGTTTTCTTTTTTCTTCTCTTCTCTTCTCTTCTCTTCTCTTCTCTTCTCTTCTCTTCTCTTCTTTCTTCTCTTCTCTTCTTTCTTTCCTTTTTTTATTTTTTTTGCCAGACCTCTTTCTTTCTTTTTTAAAAATTTATTTTTATTGATTTCAGAGAGGAAGAGAGAGGGAGAGAGAGATAGAAACAGCAATGATGAGAGAGAATCATTGATAGGCTGCTTCCTGCACGCCTCCTACTGGGGATTGAGCCTGGAACCTGGGTATGTGCCCTTGATCAGAATTGAACCCGGGACCCTTCAGTCCGCAGGCTGACTCTCTATCCACTGAGCCAAACCAAATAGAGCTGAATTTTTTTCTTTCTGATACTCTGTTGTTCTCTCTTCTTGGAACTGCCATTCAGATGTTGGACATCCTGGATTGGTCATCTAATTTTCTTTGTTTTATGAAAATTCTTCATCTTTTTGTCATTATATACTACTTTCTGAGAGATTTTCTTGATTTTATCTTTCAACCCTTCTATTGAGTGTTTTATTTCTGCTTTCATATTTTTTAATTTTACTTTTTAATTTTTATACATAATATGCTTCGTGCTGCCTAATACACTGAATAACTTTCTAGCAGGGGTAGATGCACATAACTGCGTTATTTTTCATCAATCAGGAAAATGCTTCAGTAATCAATGTTCTCCAAACCTTTTACATAGTAACAATTAACTCCAGAAAGGCCTATCTCTTTCCATCAAAGTCCACTGATAAGAATAATAGCAACCTTTTCTTCTTCTTGGCAACGTTTTTTCAGACATCACAGAATTCTCAGCTGCTGCAGTTCCCAGTAGCTAGCAATGTCCCATCCAGTGAGTTCTTTTGGCTTATGCGCCAGAACTGTTCAGAAAGAAAAAATTTTACTCTACCTTTAAGGTGTCTCTGGCTGGTCTAATTAAATAGACATGAGACAGATTAACAGGAGAAAAACCAAATTTAGTAACATCCCTATCCTCCTGTATACATGGGAGAGACCTGGAAAAACTGAGTAACTCCTCTGCTTTCATATTTTTAATTTGGAAGAGTTCTTTCTAATTCTCTGCATATTTTTAATAGCATTTTTATTTTGTATTTATTTCATGGATATAATTTTTTAAATACCAGCCTTTTGTTTTAGTCTAGAATTTCCCCCCACATTCCCTTTCTCCTAATTATTCCTTCTGCCTAAAATACTCTTTCCTTAAATCTTTGTATGAGTGGCTTCTTTCCATCATTCAAGTCTCATTCAGAACATCCTTCCCTAACTGCCTGGTTATGCTATTATAGCACCTACTAAACACTTGGTAGTTCTTATATATTCACTTGCTTTTTGTCTCACCTCAACATAAATCTATATCTATATATATAAAAGCCTAAGTGATCGGCCAACCAGCCGGCAGCTATGACACTCACTGACCACCAGAGGGCAGACGCTCAACGCAGGAGCTGCCGAGCAACAGCAACTTTGTAGAGTGCCCTCTCATACTACTCCGGGACCCCTTGGGGAATGTCAGACTGCTGGTTTCAGCCCGGTCCCCGCAGGTTAGGCTGAGGGACCCACCTGCCAGAAGGACCCTGCTCACTCTGCAGACCTCCACAGACGCTGCCCCAGGAGAGGGACTGCAGGAGGTTGGCTCCAGGGCGTGTCTGGCCCGTCTTACCCAGTCCCACCCTGCCGGCCACCTTCTAATTAATTTCCTTTCAATGTGCAGGAATCTGTGCACCGGGCCTCTAGTATCTTTATAATCTTTAAGAGATCAGAGACAATGTCATTTTTTTCACTGTTCTATGCCTTTCTCCTAATAGGTAGTCAGTATATGAATAAAGGATGTTAAAATGGATGGTAAGAGTAAAAGATGCTAGGGTCAAGATGGGAAATTATTCCTTAGCAAGATGCTTGATGTCTTAGAAAAAATGATGGAGGAAAATCATATTTATTTATATAGTAACTTTTATTTTGTTTCCACGTTTTCACTTTTAAAAATCTAACAAAGTAATATATTCAAAAAATAAAAAATATATGAAGTTTATAATGAAATGGTACAGTCCACTGTCCTTGTTTCCTAAAGGAAACTAATTTTAACTCATTTTGGTTTTAGTTCTGGTGATTAATAACCTACATGTAAACAATATTTTTATAATGTTTTATAATGTTTCTTTTTTTGTGTTTTTATTGATTTTAGAGAAAGTAAGAGAGAGAGAGAGAGGGATAGAAACATCTATGATGAGAGAGAATCATCGATTGGTTGCCTCCTGCATGCCCCCTACTGGGGACTGACCCCACAACCTGGGCATGTGCCTTGACTGGGAATCGAACTGTGACTTCCTGGTTCATGGGTCGACGCTCAACCACTGAGCCACACCAGTCAGGTTATGGTCTCTTCTTTAACCGTAGCTAAGTCTTTGTGATTTGACTCTAGGTTGGTTCTAAAAATTGACAAAAAATAGTATTTACATTACAATTTTATTTTTTAATTTTTATTCATAATATGCTTCATGCTGCCTAATACACTGAATAACTTCTGTTTCTTTTCTCCCTTTGTCCTTTCCTAGATTTAAATCTCTAAATCTGGGGCATGAATCCCAGTGAGGGTGGGATGAGGAAGCCAACAGGGTAGCAAAGCATAGAGCAAGAGCAGTGTCAGTCAGAGGTGCCCGTGCAGAGCTGGAAGTCTCCCAGGACGGTGTTATGGGACTGGTAGCACCTTTCAAGCAAGAGGTAGTAGTTGAGCTGAGCTATGAGGGATGAGGTAGATTTAGATTTGTGGAAGGATCAGGTTTAGCTAGAACATGTTGGTAGGTAAGTGTAGGGGTTACTCAGAGTATAGTAGCCAGTGTGGCCAGCAGTCGTGTGAAGGGGATTATACAAGAAGAAGTCAGAAAGCTGGTTTGGTCAGAATTGTGAAGAGTGATGGGTAGGGGGCTGGTTATTAATCTTTAGACTATTTTAATTTTGACTTTAATTTCCCAGAATGTTTACTGAGATGGTTCCTCTGAAGTGGAACACAACTGGAACAAGGAAAAAGGAGTGACAATTGCTGAAAAGAATTTTCAGTCCGTAGGACAACGCTCTATCTACTGAGCCAAACTGGCTAGGGCTTGCTGAAAAGAATTTAAAGATGGGGGAACCAGGGCTTGACAGTCAGTGTAGGATTAAAACTTAGAGCTTCCAGACATGAAGAAGGAAACAGGAAATCAAGCCTGAATTATAGACTGAGTGCCTGTTAGAAGGCTCAACAGATTACTCTCAATGTTCAAGAAAGGCCAAGTGATGAAGGTTAGCATAGGTTTCTCCTTAGTTACTGCACTGGGTTGAATAGTGTGGGCTCCTAAATCCAATGACTAGTGACCTTGTAAGGAGAGGAGGCTTGGGACATACAGTGACAGACACAGACAGAGGGAAAACGACCGTGGGAAGACAGGCAGAAATTGGAATGATGCAGCTGCAAACCAATGACCAGGATTGCTGGCAACCACTAGCATCTGAGGCAAGGCGGGATTCTTCCTAGAGCCGTTAGAGGGAGCCAACACCTTGATTTCAAAACTTAGAGCCTCCAGAACTGTGGGAGAATAAATTTCTGTTGTTTTAAGCCAAGCAGTTATTGATAATTTATTGCAGCATCCCTAGGAAACCAATACTGCTACCTTATAACCTGCCAAGTAGTCATTCATTCATTTAAAATTTTTTATGTAGCATCAATTTATAATGCATCTAGCTCTGTTTAGGTAAAGTGAAAAGATGAAACTGGTCCTTGGCTTCTTGGAGCTCACAAGGAGACTAGTCAATGACGGTTGCCTTCTTTGAGTCTATAGAATATGAGGTTCGAATGGACCTCAGTGTGTTACTTTTCACATTTAACCAGCACTCCCAATGATTGCATCTCCAAAAGTAGTTTCAGTCTCTGCTTATAATCTCCAAGAACAGGGAGCTCACTTCTTAGATAGTCCCCTCTATCTGTATAGAGTTTTGACTCTTAGAAAGTTCTTTTGTATACTGAAATAAAAATCTAGGTCCTGATAACATTTCCTTATTGATCCAGTTTTTCCTCATCAAGGTAACAGAGCAAATTTGATTCTTCTTCCCTAAGAAGAGCTTCTCACTTACCTGAGAACAATGACCAGATGCATCTCTTGATGCACCTTCAGTTCTAGACAGTACTTCTTTCACCAGGAGGTCCTTCTGAGTGAGAAAACCCACTGTATCCTTAATAACAACAATAATAGTCATAACTGTCATTTATAAAGACTTAGTATCTATTAAGCATACTGCTAAGTGCTTGGTATACATGATCTGACTTGATCTTAGAATAATTCTATGTGGAGAGTACTACTAACTCTCATTTAATAGATGAGGAAACAGTGTTAGAGAGAATGAGGAATGTGTACAAAGTCATGCATCTAAATAAGTGCTGGGGCAAAGGATTTTATCAGAGCAGATCCTGGCCCTGTGTTCTGATCAACCACATTGCTCCCCATTGCCCTAGGACAGTGATGGCGAACCTATGACACGCGTGTCGGAGGTGACACGCGAACTCATTTTTTTGGTTGATTTTTCTTTGTTAAATGGCATTTAAATATATAAAATAAATATCAAAAATATAAGTCTTTGTTCTACTATGGTTGCAAATATCAAAAAGTTCTATGTGTGACACGGCACCAGAGTTAAGTTAGGGTTTTTCAAAATGCTGACACGCCGAGCTCAAAAGGTTCGCCATCACTGCCCTAGGACCTGGGTGTCTTGGAGTACCCTTACCTCGTCCTAAGCCTGCCTTTGTCTCTGGATGCAGGAAGGACCATCAGAGTGCTCCGCCTGTGCAGTACAGGGAACTGCGGTCCTTGCTTGAAGCCATGCTGAACCGCTGTGCCGATTTCTCCCAGATCCCATTGAGCAGGAGGTCCCTGGTCAGTGAACTGCAGTCTGGAGATCATGCTGTAATGTGTTTTTAGTATAAGTACCTTTGTATGCCACTATACCTACATTGAGATGTTATTTTTCCCCCCTAACTACAGAGCTGTGAGGCTTAATAGTTGCTATTTTTACAGATTAGGAAACTGAAGTCATAAGGGTTAAATAATTTTTCTATAAAGTTCAATACTAACAAGTACCTAATTTTGGATAGTAAATCCCAGGGTATCTGTACCCAAGCTTACTACACTCTCTGTCTTTTATATTATTCAAGCAGGTATGCTAAACATGCTCACAAAATTATTTAAGGCTAGATTTACTAGAATCTTAGAAATAATTTGGCTAATATGCAATGTATTGAATTGTTGGTTTTTAATAGTCCATGGACTTAAAATATCAGAAAAGATACTGTTAATATGAATACTGATTATGTCTTTCAGGATTAATTTTGGAAATCAAGGTCTTCATACCTAATGGGGTAAAGATTTTTATGTGTTTTGAAGCAGCTAATGTGGGCATTACAACCAGTTAGGCCAATGTCCACCAGCCTGTGACCACTTTATGAACAAGAGCCAGTTCTGTGGTTCAAAGGGAAACAGATGGTTAAGGTTCCCCCTTCTCCCATTTTTTAAAGGAGCTGTAAGATGGCTAGATTGCGAGGAGATAACACTAGAAAGTGTTAGGTGTAATAGCCAGACTTCAGGTGAGAGGAGGAGGTCTGTAGTCCTCTACGCTCAGACTGGGACCCAGAGTAGGTACCTGACCCAGGTTCCCTTCCCTCCTTCTCACCTCAGGGCCGTGCCTCCAGTAGAGATTTGGAGAAGGCCATTCTTCGAAGGGGAACGTTTCTCCTGAGCACTCTGGAGGGATTTAGGAATGCCTGCAGGTGAGGGGCCTTCTATGGTCTAAAATAGTGGTATGGAGGGGGGGCTTGGAAAGGAATCAAAGGATGAAGTTCTTGATTTCTGATGCTTTGCTGCATAGGGAGAGGACTTTGGCTGGGGTGGGGGTTGGGGACATGTGCGGGTGTGGAGGGTGTGTGTGAAGGAGGATTGAAGACATGTAGCTAGAGTGGGAGGTTTCTAGAAATTCCCTTCTGGTGAAGTTTGTGTTACTGTATAATGTTCTGTGTGTGTGTACTGTGTTTGTGTTCTGGTGAAGGTTGTGTCTCATTCAACTTTGTTCCTCATCCCAAATAACTGAGCTAAATGCTTGTTGGATTAATTCAGTTCACATTTATGGTGTTTTTAAAAAATATCTGCTGTGTCCCAGGCCTGGTGCTAGGTAGTGGAAGTAGAAAGACGAGCTCTCAGAGATTGTTTTGTCTACATATGTGGGATTCATTAGGTC